ATAGACAAAGCAAATTTAACAAAAGTTAAAATAACTGAAAAGAGAAGAGAAAAAAAGCAATGATAATAATAATAATAAAAGAACTGCTCCAGACAGCACAAACAGTAATGTCTATTTATGATCAACTTCTGATAACTAACAACAACATTGATAGTTTATAATTCTTGATAGAACAGTTTACGTTTAAACTGTCAGGTGGACTCCCTGACAACAAACTGCTAAACATTAACACCAATAGGGAGAAGGTCCCATGAACCATTATGGGGGATAGTGTAACATTATGGAGGAGGTCTTCTTACAACCCCCACAAACTCAAAGATGGTAATGTAAAAGTTCTTCAGCCAGACAGGAAAGTACTTTTAATTGAGGAGAATAACATCAATCATGGCAGATGGCACCCCAAGTGGGCTATTGCTCACTCACTCACACAGCTGATGTGTTGTCAAGTTTCTCACAGTGAACTTATAAGGACTGAATGGCTACCCAGATTACCTAGGCATGCTAGGTACACAAGAGTGGTTCTTACTTTCAAATATACAATAATTCCACTAATGATGCTGAGAGTGAGGAACTATTTAAGGAGGATTCATATTACACCCTTCCAAGTCTTTCAGGATAACAGTTGTTCTGCCCTGCTGACAGCTGGAGAAGCAAAATGCCCCAGAGTGTTCCCAGATGAAAATGGGCAGTCCTGCCATGCTGCTAGGCAACAGCCAAGACCAGATAACTCCCAGCCTTACCCAAGGCCCATCTCCAGCATCCAAGAGTATCCTGACCAAGTTAGAGCTGAGGTGCATTTCTCCTGATAAGGACCAGCAAGCCAACCATTTACATCAAATGCAAATGCCCTGATGCAAGACAACTCATCAAATAAAAGCTTAAGTGCACTCTCTGTGTGCTATTGTGCTAGAAGGGGATCAAACTGACTTGGTAAGTTCAGATATCTTGCAGCTGACTGAGGAGGACATCATCTCCATCCCAGCAACCTCCAGGCAGCTATTTGCTGCTGATGCTCACTCACCAAAGGCTGATACCTCCTGCTTGCTGAATTTGGAGTCAAATCACACAAATGACTGACTTAGTTCTGTTCCCAGTACAGGACCATCTCATGCAATACTGAATAGTTTGACTCTGTCACTGACTAAAACTGACAACCGAACTCACAATGATGGTCCCTCACCAATCCATTCAGCTTCCTGTGAAGAATTGCATATGGCTGATGCACCTCTAATTCACTGGCCCCTTTAGTATCTGAAGGGGAACCATCTCTCTGACATCAGGCTCAAGAAACCTGCTGACATTTCTGTCCTGTAACACTGCAGGGTGGCATGCCAGATCCAAAGTCTCCAGCTTTATTAACTTCATTACCAAAACTTCATTACCATTCTATATATATTGTATATATATATATCTTATCTCTAAGAGTCAAGCTAAACTGTTAGACACATTAACCCAATATGCTCAAGCTATTCTGCTCCAATTCACCAAGGAATCCTTGTGTATGGTTAACGTATACATCCCCCCAACTTACTCTCATTCTCAAGCGAATATGTTATGGACCAGCTTGGAAGCCTACCTAAGTAACATCTTGAAGTCTTTTGCCTCTGCCCATTCTAGCATTAAAATCCCCTAAAATCACCAGAGATTTTAATGCTAGAAAGGGGCTAATGATAAACTTCTTTACTCCAAACACCACCTGATCAGCCCTGATCATGAGATACCTCCCCAACTACTCTTAAGGAAATCAAAAGATAATACTGCAGACCATAAAGGTCTTTGTATGGCTCAAACTTTTAATGAATTGGATCTTTTCCCACTGAATGGGGCAATAAGCAGTGACCACCCTGCACAATTCTCCCATTGGGCAGAAGCCAGACCCTCTCTTCTAGACTGTACAATAATTTCTAAAAACCTCTGCTCCTTTCTGCTAGAGTTCCAAATCTATTATCATTCTGAGAGTGATAATTTCCCTAATACTCTAAGGCTGTAGAGACAAGTCTGGTTCCTGGCAATGAATTAGAACCAGGACCAACCTCTGTTAAATGGTCCTCACAACTAAAGGAGAAAGTGGCACAAGTATTTGCCTGGGAGAAAGCAATCCACCTTAGATCTACAATCCTTTGTGGAGAGGCTGAAAGAGACACCCACACCACCTATACTCACCTGATACAGCTTCTACAGCCAGTTCTCACTATAGCAGGCAAAACCAAGTCCATAAAGGGAAGCAATCCTCCATTTCCAAACCAGCCATGGTATGACCACTACTGTCAGGACACCAGAAAAGAACTCGATTGTTTCAGAAAACATAGAAAAGACCCTACTTTGCATACTTCCAAGACCTCCTCAATAGGAAAAGGCAATACAAGAGGCTGATTCAACAAAATCAACAACAGGCACCTAGGGACAGCTAGCAGCAACCCATAGGTGTGGCACGGGCCAAGAATACAGCTGTATTTTGGCATCACATTACTCGCCATCTTTTAAATAGACTACCTCAACCTCCCTATTTAATACTAGCTGCCAAATGGGAGGAGCATTTCTGGACTTTATATACAACAGATGACACACCCATACTAGACACAGATCCCAATGGAACTGACAGTTCATACCCTCAGTGCCCCCCGTCACACATGCTGACATCACAGATTTAATTAAACAGCTCAGCTCAGGCAAGGACCCAGGCATAGATTTCATCACAGCTGAGGTTCTCCGAAGTAATTTGGAATGGTGGACTATGGTATTGGCTTCTCTGTTCACATACTGTACATCAACCAAACAGCAATGATTCCCAAAGATTGGCGCCTTGCTCTAATAGCCCGCATCTACAAGATAGGTAATCGGCTATAAAAATAAATAAATAAATAATCAGAATCTTCCAGCTAACTACTTGCTTCATCAGTCCATTCAGTACCATCAGCAATACTTATGACAGACACCTATCCATACAGTTTCAGGAGCTGCTAGACCCGGAGAACATACTAGCCAAGGAACAAGCTGGATTCAGACGTGGCTGTTCTATTTTCGATCACGCTCTTATCCTGCAACATTTGGCAGAGAAATATACCTCAAAACCATGTGCAAAACTATACACAATCTTCATTGATTTCAGAGCAGTCTTTGATTTAAATTCCCAATCTAATCTTTGGCACAAGCTCCAAAATTCCACCATAGATAGAAGGCTCCTTTTGCTCATTTATAATGTATATGACAACTCTACTGACCTTTGTAGTAGTAAGATGCAGCTCCCAAAGTCATTATTCTAAGGAAATCCCCATCAACAGAGGAGTTCAGTAAGGATGCATCCTGGCACCATCACTATTCAACTATTACATCAATTCCATAGTTGCCAGGATGAATAATCTCTCACATCATTCTCCGAAACTGCCACAGAAGCACACAGCAATTCTCCTACATGCGGACGATACAGTATTCCTCTCCCAGATCCACATTGGCTTAAAAACAGCCTTGAGAGCCTTGGCTGAATACTGCAACACAGAAGTCCTAGAAATTAATTATAATAAAACCAAGGTGCTGATATTGGAGAAAAGCCCTAAAATGCACATCTGGAAATTAAATAAGCACCCAATAGAGCAGGCCAAGTCATTTAAGTATCTTGGTATTTTATTCCATGCCACAACCACACATAGGCTACACATGGAATATGTAATCCAAAAAGCTCAAAGATCTGCCACAGCCCTCCAAACCTACTTCTGTACCAAAGGAGCATTATACACCCCTGCTGCACTTTGAGTATATTCAGCCTAAGACTGGTCACAATTATTATTTGGTGCATAGATAGGTCTATACAAGTCTTTCGCCCCCCTGGAAAGGGTTCAGACTAAGTTTCTCAGGACCTTATTCCAAGGGCCCTGTTGTGTTTCAAATGTGATCTTATGTCACAAGGCTGGCATTAGCAAGATTGAATCTAAAGCCTGGAGACATATTTTCATATACTGGCCTAAACTCCTCTTTTCCCCCACAGGCCTAACCCCTCAGGTTCTCTCTGACAAATACATTTCCTCCTGGGCCACAGCATTATATAAGACACTGGAACTTTGGGGCTTTTCTTTAACCCAAGTGCACATGCTGGGGTAAGAACAGACAGTAGAGGCAATCAAGCAGAATCTCAAGGACACCGACATTCAAACAGACTTAATGTCCCTCCCCAAAGATCTATTTTAAAGGAGCCCACACACCCCTACAGACCCTCCAGATACTTAAAAGAAATCGCTGTTCCTAAACTAAGGAGGGCCCTAAGCCTAGCATGGTTTAACACACTTCCATCAGCAGTTTTAGAGGGGAGATACCAAAGGGATTCCATTCAAATCCATGGTCTGCCTATGTGGTGGAGATACAGAAACTGTCAAACTTGCCTTACTAGGTTTTCAATTAGCAATAATCGTGCCTTGGATTAACCTCATTGGCTACGATACGGCCACTGTGCAAAGCTGTTTTAACCTCTACAACAACAGCATCAATGGGCCTCAAATTATGACTTATACAACAAAAAATAATAACCTCGGGTTACGAACGCCTCTGTTAACGAACTTTTCAGGTTATGACCAGCTCCAGCCGCAAAAATTTACCTCAGTTTGCAAACTCCGCCTTGGGGTACGAACAGGATACGCGGCCATTTTC